AGAAATGTTTTGTGGTGAAACTATTTATTATTGCATGGTCAAAACGGCTTCAATGTCCCTATCTCAACTTTCCATTCGATATTCAATTGAAACAGATACAGGGTGGTGCAGAAATCTGAATTATGAACCATTCTGTATTTGTTTCGATTAAATGTCAATAGATACAAAGTTAAGATAGGGACATAAAAGCCGTTTTGATCAATAATAAATATTTTCGCAAAATAATTCTTAAGTTGAAACATCTCGATTTTTCTCACTCTAAATATCTCAGTTATTAGTCCCACTAGACCCCGAACTTTGTGAATCGATTAAATCAGCTCTTCAGGAAGCATCCAGGGTGTCCCATTTGAAAAATCAAAGTTACTGCTACTTTCGAGTAGAAGCGGCAACGCCGGATTGTTTCAAATATTTCAGAAGTGTAGATCATGTTAATTTATACATACCTTCGAATTTTTAGATTTATCCGTTGCCTGGTTTGCCAGAAACATCTAATTAACGCTTATCGTCAAAAGCCCTGTATAGTTTTGATGACGGACCTGCAACTAAGTCTGGAGCAAAGAACGATATGAAATACTCCTTCTAATTGTAATACTCACGTATACTGAATAGGAAGTAATAAAATTAATAAATTTCGTCTGATTCCTATTTTGTACCCCAAAATGAGCAAAAATAATATTTTGAGCACATAATATGAATAGTTAAAATCGTCTGTGCACGAATAAAAAGCACATCGTTGAATAGAAATTTTGATGTTCTTTCCAGATATGGCAAAAAAATGAGAAATTCGAATGTATAGGGTGTTGTTTTCTGGCAGAAAGAATTTGTGAATTTTAAGTGAAGCCGGACCTGGATTTTATCTTTTGTTGTTGCCTCAATCAATTCCACAGGATAGATTGAGCAAGTGTAGCAATTTTTAAAAATATATACAGGTTGGTTGGAAAGTTATGAGACAATGAAGATATGGACAAAATTGATGAAACATCCTGTATCTCGGTTATAAGAAGTCGAAGACCCATCAACCATGGGTTTTTTGAAATCACCCCAGTGACCCCTATCCACAGTTGAATTATTTACCTTTCCCAATGAAACACCTGTATATGCATAAAATAACAAAACCAATTATGAATCACAAGAAAACTATTCGAACCCGATCTATCACGAACCAATCACTTGATGTACCCCTATTTAGGAAAAGTCACTCCCAACGCTGCCTCTCTTATAAGGACCAAAATTATATAACAAATTGCCACTTCAAATAAAAAATATATAAAAACTCAAATCCTTCAAATACGAAATCAAAAAAATGATCAATGAAAATAGAATCTACTTATAAAAAAAAATCCTTTTTTACTCTTTTATCATTTATTCGCCATTCATTATTGTTGTTGTTGTTCTTTATTACCCCAAGAAACATATTTGTTTATAATAGGGATACATAAACATATGATATATATATATATATATATATATATATATATATATATATATATATATATATATATAAAACAATAAAAAAAACTAATTAACAAGTTATGGTAATATAACATAATAATTAAAATAAAACCATTCCAAGTATTCAAATGAGAATAAATTGCTCCGTTTATTGTGTCATTAGTATATATTTTTTCATATTGACTTTGAATCTTGTTTCATCATCAATATGTTTCAAATCATATGGTAATGAATTATATAAAATGATTCCGTTGTAGAATACTGATTGTTTGCCAATGATGGAGTTATATGGGTTTGCTATTAATGAATTCAACTGTCTCGTTGCATGAGTATGAATTGTATTTACTTCAGTAAAGTTCAAGTTGGATATTTTTATTTTTTTTCTCACAAAATGGATGAAAGAACAAATTTTCATTTTATATAAAGATGATAAATTCAACAGATTTTTTGGTTTTTAAAGATTAATAGTTGGTTCCAGGTAATGTAAATTGTAAATGCACTTTATTGTTTCATTTTGTAATTTCATTAATGGTTTAATGTGATATACTTGTGCTTCCCCAAATTGATATTAAATATTGTAATTTTGAGTAAATCAGACAGAAATATATATTCTTCAAATATCTAAGAGGAATGAAATTTCGAATTTTGTATAAAATGCCAGTAATTGGATTGAGATTTTTTCTCAGGTGATCTATATGTTTAGTCCACGATAATTGTTCATCAATATAAAGACCTAAGAATTTTGTAATATCTAAATATTTTATGGCTTTCTGGTTGAAAAATATTGTTGTTTTCGACATATCAGTTTTCTTTTTCTATCGAATGTCAATATGCCCTGTCAGTTTGCATTTCTCCTGAGAATCTTATCAAGTTCTGACACTGGAAACGAAAACAAAAAACAAAATAGCAAATAACATTACTTTTCCTCGTACAGAAATAGACACTACAAGCATTCATGCTTAGGTAATTTCTGTACAGGATTACGTAATCTGTAATAGTGATATATTTTGTAACAACGACTATCATGGAATGAATAAAGTTTGATTTGAAGTTTGATTTGATGAAGAAAAAACAGTTCACGACAGTGGACTACTTAGGATAAGTACTTCGAAATAATGAAATAACATTTCTCACTGAAACAGGGAATCCGTGCTACTTGCGTACGTCCGGCTTGCGTACAAGGGGCGTAACTGTCCAAGATGCGTACAACAAGAGATCGGTTAAAATCGTTTATTTTTTCAAGGGAGCGCTGTTGCCAAACTCAAAATTTAAATAACAAGTACTGTTGGTAAATTTAATACTTTTCATATAAAATATTGATAATAAAATTATAGTATGAACAATAATATATATATGTGTATATTTTACCTAACACTGGTAGGTGGTAGAAAATAAGCTGGTGTTTATAAAAGCTTTCTTCTTACCAAAATAGCGTCCACTGTCGTCAAAATATGTTTAAATAAGATTAAGAAAATATTAGAGTGCCTTCTTTAGTTATTTTAATCACTTTAGATTTCTCTGAAATTACACTAACAACAATTTAATGATTATCTCCTTCGACTGTTGTGACATTACATTATGGTTAAATTATTTTGCTATGTGGTATTAAAGGCTTTATTTCTTTATCCCGATGGAATCAGGATTAAAAAACCCAAGATTCAAAACCATATGTTTAAGATGTACTTTTCCCACCTTCATAGAAAATTAAAAATCCCTTCTGCATATAAAAGGAAGCTATCTCAAAAAAAAAAATTTAGTACCAGTTAAGTTTTCTGAAACTGCACTTCGCAAAAATGGAATCGCTGCAAATTACGAATACGACGAAGGGTAAACCTTCGGCAATTTTCAAAGGATTTCAGTATAGAAAGCATAGAGTGAACAAGGATGAAGTCGTTAGTTGGTTGTGCGTGAAACAAAAATCCGAAAGATGCAATGGAAATTTGAAAACCAAGAACGGGGTAGTTTTGTCTACAACTGACCATTGCTGCAAAACAAATCCAGTGGACCTCGAGGTGAAATTGAAGATAAATAACGCCAAGAAAAGAGCCAGAGAAAGTGAAGAACCAATATCGAAAATCTACAAGGAAGAAGTCGAACCACTTTTAAGCCAAGGATTGGATTTTGTTGTCAAAGTTCCAGTGTTTTCATCGGTGAAGTCGTCACTATACAGCGCAAGATGTAAGGAACAGGGAAAATCTTCAGAACCAGAAACAGCAGCAGAAATTCAGTTACCGGAAGATATTTTCACCATTCCAAACGGAACTTTTCTATTGGCGGATGATGGGGCCGAAGAGAGGATGATAGTTTTATCCACTACTTTTGGGAGACAGCTGCTGTCATCAAAACGAAGTTTTTTTATGGATGGCACATTCAAATCCTGCAGCAGGCAGTTCAATCAACTGTACACTGTGCACGCAGATATAGAGAGTACCTTAGAAGAAACGAATATTCTCCCAGTAGCGTTTGCTCTTCTGCCAAACCGACGAAGACAAACTTACGAAAGGCTGTTCACTCTCCTCAGCGAAAAAACAGGATGGAATCCGGAAGACATAAAAATTGATTTCGAGCAAGCAGTAATAGCTGCATCCAAGTCTGTCTTTCCAACGGTACGTGTGAGTGGTTGTAATTTCCATTTTAACCAGAGCATTTGGAGAAAAGTGCAAGACTTGGGATTGGCAATGGACTACAACAATAACGAAGAAATAAGGATGTCTGTGCGGATGTGTGCAGCTTTAGCTTACCTTCTACCGGAAGAAGTAGAGAATGGTTGGCTCGCTATACAAGAAGACGTTCCATCTACGGAAAAGCTGCAAAACTTCTTTGATTACTTCGTCCAACAATGGCTGCAAAATCCAAATTTACATATTACAATGTGGAACTGCTTCGATTCACGCCACCGGACGAACAACTCAGTTGAAGGATGGAACCACAAACTCAACTCCATGATACATCCACATCCACTGACGTGCAAGCTGATTAAAAAGTTGAAGGAGGAAGCCCTTCATAGCGATTTTATTGCCCAAAGAGTAGAATTGAACTTAGAAGGAAAACGAAGAAAAACGAAGTATGTTGAGTTAGACAAAAGAATTAAAAGGATTCTGGATGGATTCGCGGAGAGCAAAGATTTAAAACATTGCTTACGATCGCTCGCTTATATTGCAAAAATAGAGTAATATATTAAAATTAATTTTTGAAATAAACTTTGACGACACTAGTTTGGTGAAACATCTTTTAAACACGCCAGCTAGTTTGCTGCCAGTCCTAAGCCTGGATTAAGTGTGAAGGGAAGACATTTCACAGATATACATACATAGTATGTATTAAAGTTTATACTATAATTTTATTATCAATATTTTATATGAAAAGTATTAAATTTACCAACAGCACTTGATATTAAAATTTTGAGTTTGGCAACAGCGCTCCCTTGAAAAAATAAACGATTTTAACCGATCTCTTGTTGTACGCATCTTGGACAGTTACGCCCCTTGTACGCAAGCCGGACGTACGCAAGTAGGAAGACACCGAAACAGGCCCATTGATTTCCCTACCTGACGTCCCCGTATCTGTCCTCCATGAACTTGACCATGTTGTGGACCACCCTGCGCCTGGTGTACTCGTTGCTCTGCGGGTGCAGCACGTTGGGCGGCCCGTGCAGGACCAAAGCGCAGACGAGCAGCCGGGCGGCCGCCGTGCGCACCAAAGGGTTCTTGTGATCGGGTGCCTTGGACGTCACCGCCCGCACCTTAGAGAAGAGAATGGTTGAATGTGAGAGTGCAATACTTTGTCAGTAGATTTCACGATCAGGATTGAGAAGAATATTTAAATTAACAGTTATTTATTATACAAGGGAAATATAATATACCCACCACACTCTAGATAGAGTTTGGATTTATCTCTAACTTCAATACTGAACGTGTTGTGCTGGAACTAATAGATAAAACTGTGAAAGCTCTGGATGAGTCTGAAAAATGTTTGACAATATTTCTCGACCTTGCGAAAGCGTTCGATACTGTATCACATTGAAAGCTTTCATATAAATTAGACACATATGGCATAAGAGGACCAAGTTTAATCCTATTGCAAAACTATCTATCACATAGGATGCAAAAAATAATAATCGACAATCAGCTCAGCGGGTCGATGAAAGTTACAGTTGGTGTTCCACAAGGAACAGTTTTGGGCCCAGTGTTATTCCTAGTTTGCATAAACAGTATCAGCGGAATTAATGATTTCAAGGGACAACTTATATCGTATGCAGAGGATACAGCTATCATCATAACAGGAGACTCTTGGGTAAATGTGTATACGAACGCCGAAAAAGCATTGAAAGATATACAGTTATGGCTGAACAATAATTTATTGAGTTTAAATACAAAAAAAAATTCATAATATTCACTTTACAACAAGGTGATCAGCCAAAAAAAGAATCTCTGAAGGTACATCGAGTAGGGTGTACCAGATACTCTGATAGAGAAATAGATAATATTAAATACTTAGGTGTGATGATAGATCAGCATTTAAGATGGGATGTTCACTGTGATCAATTAGTGAAACGACTGCGAATGTTGACCAGGAGTTTATATGAACTGAGAGATATTTTAGACAGAAAAAATCTATTCATATTCTATAATTCACTAGCAGAATCTGTCCTTAAATACTGTATAACTGCTCGGGGCGGAATGTACAACAACACACTCTACCGGCTTCAATCTACACAAAATTCCATTCTGAAGATTATTTCCAAAAAACCTAGGTTTTTTCCAACAGAACAATATTACAAAGATCAATGTCTTTTGTGGATGTTTGATAATAAGAATAAGTTTGAAACAGAAAGAATCTATCCATCAAAATTCCTAATTTCAAGAAGAGTCTCACGCAAAGGTTTATTTTTCATTATGGGCCCAAACTGTACAATAAATTCTTCCCCTGGAAATAAAAAAAAATCATGAAAATGAGGAGTTACAAATTGAAAATCAAAATTTATGTCACTGAGACTTCGACTTTACTTCGTATTTTCAACTGAGAAACTCAATTCATTTTTCCTATTCATTCTTTTGTTTCTATTTCCGATTTTGAATTCCATCCTATTGATTTTGTATTACAACATAGTAGGTATAAAATGTGAGCTACACTCGTCTCAAAATATTAATTATTATTATATTTATTCCCATACTGAAGCATATAGAACACCACGACACATACATTCACTTGCTTAGTTGGATTCTGTCCTGGTGGGGGTGTAATGTTATAATCTTATAATCTATATAAATTGTATCACATATATTATTATGAATAAATCAAATCGAAATTTCATAACGCCTGATATTCGACTTCCAACCACGGTGGAAGACAGGCGGCGTTTTCAGGCCGGAAGTCAGGTTAATGTTTTTTTGATTGTGAGTTTGAAACGCTAAAAGAGCACAATACTTGGTATCACTTCGAGTGAGACAACCAGGGTACTCGAAAAACAAAACCCTTATTACACTACACTGTTTTAAAGTCCGACCACAATAACTTTGGGACAGCACGTGGTCGCGTATGCATTGGATATGCATATGCTGTCCCAAAGTTAACGTGGTCGGACTCTACCACTACCAAACCGATTTTTGAAACGCCTCGACACGTATTTTGCTTACTATGTTAGCATCTTCAGGAGAAGTTTTAATCCTCAAATACTTTAAGCAGATTTAAAGTCAAATTTAAATAATACCTGGTCAGGACAATTTGATTTGAGAATATTTGGATTTGATAACCCGGAATTGAAATGTTTGGACTTTCATCTTAAGAAAAAGTATGAATTTGTTTCCACTGAGTGGAATTCATTAGGTAACGTTTTAATATTATTATTATTTTTATGTGTTCATGAGTTCATGTATCCCTTTTATAAACAGATATGTTTCTTGGGGTGATAAAAACAATCAATCAATGTTAGCATCTAGCAACTAGATGCGCCACTGCTCAGTGGAATGTGCTTAGATCAGAGCCTATGACAGACGTGTGTAAAAACTGGTTGATATAGTATTCGGCTGATGGCAGCCGAGTTGTGAGCAAGTGTAACCCTTGTCCATGTCATTTGTGCTCGTGTTTATTATATTATGACCATAATATAACAATCAATCAATCAATCAATATGGGAGTCGGTGAAATCAGTATCGGCGGTAACGGTGAAATTCACGGGGTTATAATAAATAGATGCACATAGCGGGTTACCCACCGCTCTATTACGGTCCCAACTGATGGAGCGTTGCCCATTCTTACAATTAGGGTGCCGTAACACGGGGTGAATAGAAACTTGGGGGGAAATAGAAACGCAAGTATGAAGCATATGTTGAGAAAATTCACAAGTTATACGCAAATTTGATTCTAGAGACTTCAAATCCTATTTGGTTTACAAATTACATATTATGTGACAACATGAATTCAGTGAATTTTACTGATTTGCCATTGGTAACACTCTTTGTCCGTTCTTTTTTCAGTCGAATACGCTATATTTAGTAGTTGCTTAGTAGTTATTTTGAATAATATTCGCCCTTACCTTATCGGAGAATGGTGTAAGTCGTGAAATCAATCAAGATTGAGAGAAATATTTTAATGAAACAAGATTATCAATAAAGAACGTTTTAAAATGGTCTAAAAAGTAAGATATTATTGGGAATTCATGTATAGATTCATGTATAATCTTATAATCGTGAGAAACGTGAGACATATATGCGATTTCGTTCATATTTTTGAATTCAGTATGTTGTATTCCATCATTTTACTTCCAATTATCTTCAGGGGAATCCCCTCGACAAGAGAAACCTTTTTCGACCCGTTTTTATTCGAACTTTTTCTCATCGTGGAATCTACTGTCGAAGTATTGCATGCTGATTATGGAACAACCTATATTGTCAAAAAACAGCTCACGAATATAAGACCCCATGTGACGTCACTAACATACTTCATCGATTCGTAAATTCTATGGAGGTGTAAAACGGGCATGCGATATTTTTTGTCAATTTCTGGTTGTAATTCGAAATAAGCATAGATATTCAATATTCGAAACAGTCTACCTGAATGGAATTCCAATTTTCACTGTTAGATAATTTCATGTTGAGTTTGATTAATAGGAGATGAGGCGACGGAGTACAGAAGGGAAGGTAGGAATTAGGGAAGGAAGGAAAAAAGGATTGGGGAAAGGAGGGAAGGAAGGAAAAATAGGTGAAACGGAGGATGAGGGGGATGGAGAAGAGTCATAAAAAGGGGAAAGATGAAGGCAAGAAGAAAAAACGAAAATAGAGCATGAAAGGAGGAATGGAGGAAAGGAAGAAGGGATAAAGAGAGGATGGAAAGGGAATTTTTTGTCCCAAGCTTAAAACCTCAAAAATTTCAAAAATTTTCCAAGTACTACCCTTTCTTTAAAGAACATAATGAGTATCCATCTTCAGTGCGCCTTCAAGAATGAAAAAAAGTAAATGAGAGCATGTTGATTGAGTGCATATTGAATGAGATCATTTTGTCTATCTAGCAGAGTTTGAGAGGAAATGATTCGAGCAATTTGTGTGGAGGCATCATAAGAACACTTAAGAGGAAATTGTTAGGATGAAATTGAATGAGAGCAAAAGTGACATGGACCCGAGATATCTCGGATGAAGGTTGATCGATAAAGAATTGAAATCGCGACTCACTTTATTTGTGACGGAGGATGACCTGTTAAGCAATAACGGGAGCGATGAGGACGACGCCAAGCGGGGCATTAGAGGTACTATTAGATTCGCCCCCACTATACCGATCTGGATTAAGAAGGAAGCAATGGCAGCCCTCCTGAGGATGCTGGGTGAAGGTAGGGGCACAGATGTCAGATAGGCCATGCGACAATTGCTACGAGGGTGGAACAGGAGATCCCTATCTACACTCTCGGAGTAAGACACGCAGAACACAGGTTGCAATGGAATAAGAGGTTCTCATTCACAATTCCGAGCAGAGAACAGTGGGAAGGGAATGCTGTGAAGTCACGGAGCTTGGTATGTTACACAGACGGTTCCCGCCTGTGAGACAAACAAGCCTCTGGCGCAGGAATCTTCCTAGATGGAGGTGGTATTAGAGAGTTACGCTCTTTGAAAATATACCACAGCAGTAGATTACTGGCCGTAGCAACGAGGCAGGAGGTGGCAGAGGGACCGGAACGGAAAATCTACATCTGCTCGGACATAATGCATCACTCAAGGCAACCTGCAACCCTGACCAAGTTCGGCACTGGTACAGGGAGTGTGTAGATGCACTTGAAAAACTATCCGAATGAAAGAATGTTGAGCTAGTGTGGGTGCCCGGCCATAGAGGGCTCCCACGCTAGCACCCACACGAAAAAGTAGACGAATTAGCAAAAACAGGTTCTGCGACGCCATCTTGGGGAACGGAACCTGGCAAAGCAAGGAGTTAAGTTTCATGTGCCCTCAATGAATGGGCGATCGCAGCGATGCGAGAACACTGGAGGAATATTACCAGCTGTATGCAGTCTAAAGACTTCGTGGCTGGGACAATAAATAAAGAACGGCATGGTTACTGGGCAAGGGCCGCCAAGTACTGCGCGTTCTCATACCGGATACACAACTGGCTAGTGAGACACCTATCGCTAATATGTGTAGAAGATGGCCCCAGTTGCCGTAAATGGAAGAAGATGTGTAGAAGATACGCTTCATCAGAAAGATTTAATTAACCTAAGGTGAACGGACATACTGACCTTCATCAGAAGGTCAGGGAGAAGGAGAATTAGGAGAAGGAAGAGTAGATATGTGTGCGGCAGGGGTGAGTAAAAAGCTAGTCAACCTCCTCCCATCTCTCTCACTACTCCTTATACTGACTACTCATTTGTGACGGGTGAAAGATGGAAATATGAAAATGTCTTTAGACCATCCGAAAGAATATCAAAACTGTTGTTTCAGCAGCTGTAAACTGCATTCGAAATCGAGAAAAAATATCACACGTCTCAGGATAATATATGCTTAATTTTTCAGGAAATTTCTTGTATTTTATACCGAGTGGAAGGTCGGCATGTGCGTCACCATGCAGTCGAGGGCTAAGTTGGCGTCGTGCCGGATGAATTTGTTGGAGTCGGCGCACTTACAAAGCAGCGTGTCTACCAGCTCGTCGAACTCCTGAAAGCAAAAATTGGTAATTATCTATCTTATTGCGATGAACTCAGCTCACATCTGGCACCCCGAATCCTTTTTTTTATCGTTTGGAGCGCACGAAAGGAAATTCCTATAATCCCTATATAATAAGAATAGGATGAGGAGGTAGTATTGAAATTATTTTTGAACTTTTGAAGTTTAAAAGTTCTTGGGAATACTTCCATCAGCAGAGAATTCCAAAGCGTTGTCGTTCCATAGACAAATGAATTTTGGAAAAGTGTTCGACATATTTCAAAGTTGACAACGAGAGGATAATATGTGCTGACTCGGCCTGTCGAGTTTGTCTTATCTAGTGATGGAATGATAGCAGAGGTTTCTAAAGAACATTTCCCGTGGAAGTATCTATAGAAAAGTGAAAGGTCTCCGACTTTTCTACGGGGTTCCAATGATGTTAAAGAACTAGTGAGTGTGGCATCCCCCACTGGGCGAATGCTTTTTTCTGGATGGAATCTAAGAGCAGCAGCGTATGTTTGGGTGCTGAACCCCATATGTGGGAAGAGTATTCTGAAACTGGACGGATCTGTGCTTTGTAGATAATGAGAAGCTGTTGAGTTGTAGTAGTAGATTTTTGTACGGAATGTGTTCGTCTCTTGGAAGAGTATTGCTGATAGATATAACGAGAATAGATATAGTAGACTTGGATATATCAGGCATCCGCCTTTCTAGAGAAAATACAAGATTGAGTTTTGGTGGCGTTGAATTCAACCAGGTTGTTGGTTCCCCAGGCTGTATTTTTAGCAAGATCTCCATTTCCTGGAAAGAAATGGGGATTCTGGAAGAGAACGCAGTATGAAGAGTACTATCAACTCTGGATGGAGCAAGTGGTTACTTCCAACAGATCATTATTATGAAGTAGGAACAATGTTGGTGCCTAAAGTGATCCTTGTGGAACGCCGGACATGATGGCCGACCACCACCACCACATGGAGCGATCTGCCTGACAGAAAACTGGACAAAAGATGGTATAGCTGAGGTGGTAAGCCGTATGATGGTAGTTTGTGGAGGAGTCCTTGCATGGTGCCAAACACTTCCGATATAATATCTAACGCCACAGCTCTAATGAAGCTCGCCATATATGGGAGACGTTGGCAAGTAAATCTCCAGTTGATATTCGATGGCGAAAGCCATATTGTCTATCATTGATGATTCTAGATTCTGATAACTAACTTTTTTCCAGAAATATGGAAAATTACCCGACCCTATACCATAATCCTACAAAATTAATTATAGGTATTCTTGACCCTGCGAGGTTTCTAAACTAAGAAGGTGCTTGGTTATGATTACGTACCTAGTTGGTGAAAATCTACCTATTCTAACTGAAGCGTGGGTTCTCATATTCGATGATAGATGGGCATGAACGATGGAGAATTTCGAAATGCGTTTCATTCAGATATCATATCTTACTCTCCCAATCTGATAAATTAGAATTTCCTGTGGACAGAAACGATGAACCGTATTTTAATGTAGATATTGTGCCAATTTTCCGAAAATGAAGGTTTATCGAACCTTTCCACAGGTTATTCTGATCCTTCAGATTGGGAAAGTAGGATATATAAAATTTAGGCAAGCCAGGATTAGTTTAGTTCATTTTACCAGTATTTCACCTGATGAAGCTGCTGTGATGTTAGCGAAACATGTCGTGTGAATGAGAATTTTGTGTAAATCTTACCGTTTGTGAAGTATTTACATCTATACTAGCCTTGTCCTGGGAGCATATTTTTTACCATGTTGCCAAAATTGCAAATGAAAGAGAGTTTGAAGTTTGCTGAGACAGATACATTATTTATCCCGCTATTTGCCCTTTCAAACTATCGACTCACCGGTCTTCTTGTATCTTTGATGAATTCGAAAAGGTGTCCAACGGCCTGACAGGAGGTCCTGCAAACATGTGACCTGGGACTCTTGATCAGCTCGACCAGTCTCTGATTTATGATCGTCATGTGAGGAAAAACCAATTCAGAATCTACCAGTCTGCATATTTCTACTACCTCGGCTAGGCCTCGCAACGCAGTATTCCTGGAACAAATCTATTTCAATCACCTCCAGAATCTTTATATGTATATACAGGTTGACATAGGAAAAAGTACATTGCATAGTGCCACACAATAGACGACACTAAAATGAAAAAAAAAATGTTTCCATGAATACGGGTCCGTAATGCCTTCGGTCAAAAGATACAGGGTGTTGAATTTCACTTTTTTTGGGGGGTTTTCATCATGCTAAATTCAAATATGATCTTAGTTTTGTGATTATGCTACATACTATTGAATCAATCGTAACTTTTTTGCTTTACACTGTATGTCATTTTCGACTGAAAAAATTGTTATCCCTTCTTTTATACTTGATGAGAAAGGTATAAGTACCTTGTCCAAGACGCTAGAAGCAATGGTTCCAGTACAAATGCATTGCAAAAACAATGATAAATACTTCAACAATTACATTTTAATGGTGTTCGAAATCCACTATTTTGAGCATATCGTTTGAAGTTATTTTTTTAAATTTTAATTCCCCACGATGATCCTTAATCGCCTGCGCGAGTGCCTCCGAGTCAAGGATGAGCAACGACAGCTCGTCCCGCATCACCGTGTATGTCATTTTTGCCGGTAATTTTCACATCTAACGATGTTGAATGAAAATTGTGACGATTAGTTGAATCTGCGATATTTCACGTGTTGAGTGTTGAACCTGTTACATCCACAACGAGAGGGCCCTGTTCCTGCATTTCATCAGGAGCAGTACCGAAGCAGTGCCTACTTGAACGTCTCCGCCGATCAAGAACGCGAGGTAAGGCCATAAAGGTGAATCGTGCTTGATTATTCAAACTGAATCTAAGTGATACAATAATATTGAATCCACAACCAAAAACATACAGTACACTAAAATTTACCCCTAGCTTAAACAAATGGTATGATGAAATATATGATTGATTTAAACAAAACAGTAGGTTTTTAGAAGATTTTCAAATTGTTGTTCTTGTACTTCAATACATTTTTCCATTCTGCTTCTTAATGATTGACGGCAACTTTGAAATATTCCTGAGTTATTACGAAATGTATCTGCCTATTCCATAATTCTTATCCATGATTGTTCATCATTATGTTTCCCTACTGCATAAACTTATTTTTGCATGAATCCCCAAAATGAAAAATCGAGGGGACTGACCAATCCATGTATTTCCAATTCCCCTGTCCAAATATTCCCATATGGCCACTCGAGAAAAGTGAGCTGGTGGCCCATCATGCATGTAATACATTCTTCCAATAATGGCCAATGGGAAATCTTCTTATAATGTGTTTAAATCATTCTCTAAAAAATTTCGATACAGAGCACCTGTCATTCGATTGGGCAATCGGAACGGGCCAATTGAGTAATTGTCGATTATACCTGCCCACACATTAATAGAAAACCCACATGGGTGATTTCGAATTACAGTTTGATGAGGATTTTCATCACTCCAATGGTGCATGTTATATAGGTTCAGAATACCATCACGACTAAAACCAGCTTCGTCAGTAAGCTAAATTGATGAAATAATGTTATGCCTTTGGTTTTGCAACCATTCGCAAAATTTCACACGAGGAAAAAAGTCATGTTCCAATAGTGAATTTTTTGGAAATGATATGGGCGAAAGAGTTGTTCATTGAAAACTTGTCATTTGTCTAACTGATTCACGGTTAATGTTCCGCACCGCTGAACTTGTTTTCCTGGTGTTTGTTCTCGGATTATATTCTACCATTCGTATAACAGTTTCTTCATTTCGCACAGTGCGACTAGTTTTGGAAACCCCACTTTTCAATTTTGGTTTCCTAAAAGGAACTTGTCTTAAAGAATATCTTTCTTGATAGAAAAATTGAGCTTCGTAAGAATTTGATCTAGCTTCGCCTAGAGTCACTGGATGGTATTAGTTTGATAAGAGTTCGGACACAGCTGAACTTTTGTCCTTTTCTATTTTCTATAATACAATGGTTTAAGTGAATAAAAGAATAAGACATATATTCTGCTCTTTGTCTTTTCAATTTCCCTAGTAGCGCCTGATTGCCAGATACGATTTTAGAGGTTATATTTTCTGTCAAATCAATCATAGCCGTAGATGGACAATGGATATAGGGTACAAACACCCACTTCAATTCATAGTGATACACTTCTAGCAGAGCAAGATTTATATAAATGAAAAAAATGCATGTAACAACATTTCAATATCAGAGAATATATACATATGGATAAACGTATAGCTATAATTCCTTATTGTATGTGAAACTGTACTCCAGTGAAGTATTCCTGAGACAATTTTAAGAAATAAAGTATATATAAGCTTGTGTCTGGAAATGCTTCATTTCGGAGATACAGGGTGTTGAAATACAGAGAACAAATCATTTTTCGATAAAGATTTCATGGGAAAAAAGTAATTTATTTTGACGAGACCTACCAAATACTTGGTTTTGTTAAGTTCTCAGCAACTTCACTCAGCGCCCTAGGAGCTAAGTAACATGGATCGATATAGAAAATATCTGCAAAACGATAACCTCCAGCGTAATTAAGGCCCTTATAATAATTCCCTTGATATTCCTTTCCACTGTTCAATTTTGAATTCGCATTCAGCACCAAGAACGCCATTCAATAATATATCACGTTGTAGTTTACTTGCTTTTCTTAGTTTCTTTTTCAAATTTTCAATTTCATAATGTAATTTTGCGATCATTTCCCCTTTTTCCATGATTATTTTGTTTTGTATTCTGTGTGATGATATAATAATGGAATTTTGTTCTTGAAATCGTCTGCTTTGTAAATTGATGGAACAGCAGATTCTCTCAAACAGATTTTGAAATCTTCTGTTTGAAAATGGGCCTGAAATATAGATTCATTCTAATCAGATGCTGTTATAAGAAGTGAATTTCAATGAGTACCTCACGAATTTCGCTCGTCTTCAAATTGATTTTCCACCCAGGCCGTTCCATATCTTCCTTCCATAAGCGAATGCTTGATATTTGATTTGGAAAATCGATCAAATGATATCCATTTGTTTCAAAATTGGCACAATTTATTACACAGCGAGTGATTTCCATAGCTGCTTTTATCTCGAAAGTATAATGATTATGAAATTTCATTTCAATTCTGACGTTTATAAAATGAATTGTCAAATTCAAAAAAAAATTAATGAAAAAGCGAGGGACGACTATGGTGCTCTTGTCACAATGCAAGGTGTGTAACTTTATAAATCTAAACATTCAAAAACCCTAACCGTTGTCATTTCTGTGTCCGAACTCTTATCAAACTAATACCATCCAGTGACTCTAGCTTCGCCGTTACACATAATCATGTCCTTGTATTCTTCAAAAGTGTAGTGAACCATATTTGGAAGCAATTTCGAATAATCACTGAGAAAACCAATGAAAAACTTGATCAAGAACACAAAATATCCCTAACAATTAATACATTAGTTCGACAACTGTCAATATGACACATTATCAAATTATTATTTATCATTCTTTCTGCAAAAGTTACTTTGGCGCTTTTTGAATAATTTGCGTGCATTGTCGGCTTTCAGATGCATTTGTACTGGAACCATTGCTTTTAGTTACTTGGACAAAGTATACATTTCTCAAGTGAACATTTTTTTTCAGTCGAAAATGACATACAGTGTATAGCAAAAAAGTTACGGCCGATTCAATAGGGATGGAACAAAACTAAGATCATACTTGAATTTAGCATTATATCCATTTCTTGCGCTTCTGGCTGAACATATTCAAATAACCAAAAAAAAATTGAAATTCAACTCCTCGTATCTTTTGACCGAAGGCCTTACGGACCCGTGTTCATGGGAACTTTTCTTCTTATTCTAGTGTACTCTATTGGGTGGCACTATGCTTTCTTCTATGTCACTCTGTATGTATAGTGCGTACTCAGGGAACACAGGGAGAGAATGTAGGTATAGGAAATTTGCTTTCAACTTTTGGAGATTATAAGGCAAATGAGCAAGTTGTGGAGATAGAATAGATTTATTTCCAAAAAAACATGATACACATGTGTAGGAATAAGTTCGAGAGTTAACAAATGTAAACTTGACCAAGTACAAAAAATAATAATTTATGACAGAATAGAAAAATCGCTAACAGGAGTAGACATACCTATTTAGATAGAACAGGAAATACGTTGTGCATAATGAATATTTTTGGTTCAAAAAAGAGAGAGAAAAAATCCTCAAACATTATTTGTTAGGGCGAAATTATCATCCATAAGGTATTCACTAACTGTATAGTAAGCCTTAGTAATTAAAATTTCTTTTATTCTTATCTTAAATATTCTAGAATTGTAGTTCTTTATATCGTTTGGAAGCACATTATATAATTTAGCACCCATGTAATGAGCGCTCTTTTGGAATAATGTTGTGTTGTGTGGGGGTAGGATGATTAGATTGGAAGATTGTCGAGTTTGTGAGCTTGCAAACTGATAGTTCCTTTTATTATTGTGTACAAACACTAAGAGATTATATATATATAAACTTGGTAAAGTGAGAATTTCCATTTGTACAAAATGTTCTTTACAAGGCTCTCTTCTTTTCAGTTTTTTCATTATTCTGATTGCTGTTTTTTGCAACACGAAAGCTGACTGCCAATCGGAGCTTACTCCCCAATGAATTAGGCCATATGACATATGTGACACGAAGTTTGCATAATAAACAGTTTTTAAAACTTTTTCGCTCACGTGTCTATTAGATAGAGCACGTAAGCAATAACATGATCTGCTCAGCTTAGTATTTGTGACTTTGATGTGTTCCTTCCATGAGAAGTAACGATCGAGTTTAAACCCCAGACATTCTATCATTTTGACTGATTTAATTTCAAATGGTAAAGTTAGGTTATCGACATTTCTATTCGCGAAAGGCATACAAAAAGTTGGTGGTCTGAATTGCCTAATGGTGCTTGTACAGGGGGTCCCAAATTGCTTGATAAGGAGAAAAGGTGGGTATTGGATTTCTCAGAATTTTTTTTAGAGATCATGCACAACACCCCCTGGCAAAAAGAATTCCGAAGCTCCGCCAGTCTACAGATTTTGAGGTTAAAGACGGAAGGATGTCGTCCTGCTGGGCTTGTCGAGTACGTTTGGCTGGTATTGCTAGTGATGGAATGATATCAGATTTGCCGTGGAAGTATCTATAGAAAAGTGAAAGGTCGCCGACTTTTCAACGGTGTTCCAATGATGTCAAAGAATCGGTGATTGTGGTTTCACCTACCAGAGGCGAATGGCTCGTCTCTGGATGGAATCTAATGGAATCCGAGTACCTATATATCTGGTAAGGTGCTTAACCCCATATCCCACCAAACTAGGGCAGTAACTGTAAAGTACTATGAAAGTAATTTCCAACTCAAATCTGCGTGCGAGATTAACCCGTCGAGTTGAGGCTTCGCATCCCCTTCGTGGTCACTTTGGAGTCCTGCAGAATATCTTTATCCAAAGACTCGTTCATCCAACGAACAGTGAGGCTCTGGAACACATTGCCAAGGAAGGTGTTCCCTGAGGCATTTAACCTCCAGAAATTTGAGAAGAACACCAATTCCTACCTTATTTCGTTTCACCATTAACCAAACCGAATTTTTCAACGCCTCGACACGTGTTTCGCTAACTATGTTAGCATCTTCAGGAGAAGATTGAAATAGATTAGAATAGAATAGAATAGTGTGTTTATTGAAAACATATGAGTAATTACAAAATTCTTCAATAGGTACTATAACACATATAATTGACTCAATGAAATTAAACTTGTTAGTGAGTTGGCACAAATGATAATAATAATAATTGAAGATAATGTTGTCTATGATCTAAAGTGAGGATACATACGTCAATGGAAATATCGTAAATACACAATTTTATGAAAGTTCACAAATTATTGCTAATGATTATTGGATACATTTTACTCTTATACTTGATAAAGTTGAATATTCACACATAAATACATACATACATGCATACATACACCCTCATACCTACATACATACATGAAAATAAACATCTCATTATTATTCAATGATTGACGAATGAACTCGATTGGGGTTTTTTTCAAATGATTTTTGAGTCGTCTGGTGAAAACAAAAATTGACCTACTTTCCTTAACATTCGGTGGAAAGCTGTTGTGCCTACAGTTTTGGCCCTAAATAAATATAATTTGTTTTTTGATGGATTTATATGTCCGAGGACATTGAAATTGAATGTGTCTTTTACTATCGTAGTTGTGTGTAAGTTGAACAAGTACATGTTTGTTTCTGTATTTTCCTATATTGCTGTTCTTATAATACAGTTGTCTCAAATCTAGCATTCCTGATTCTTCATACAAACGATCACTTAAATATCTCTTGCATTTTTTTCTAGTATCAGTTTGAGAAAACATTTTTGGATAATTTCGAGCGATCTGATATAAGATTTCGATGTTCCTCCCCATCCCAATATACCATAGTTTAGATGGCTTCACACTAAACTAGGAGATATATTTTTTTAGCCTGGTCAAAAATGCCATTCAATTGTCGAAATTTATATAGTACGAAACGTAGCTTCTTCAGAATAAAGTTTATATGATGGTCCCACCGCATATGCCTATCTATCATTATTCCTAAATATTCAATGTATTCAACAGAAGTGATTTGTAGGTTATTGTGTAATGATAGATGGCTGAAATTTTGCAATGTATTTTCATAAATGGAAAATGGTAAGAAACAACATTATATGTATTATGTATATGATTTAAAAATGATTATCTGATTATCTAATTTTTGTTTTTTTTTTAGTTGTTCTTTCATAATTTTCCCTGCTATAAACATGTATGTTTCTTGGGAATAATAATAAAGATAAGTTTTCTCTATATTTATGGTAAGCAATATATGGTTGAAAAACTCTTGAATCAAGGAGGAATCTGCTTCTACGTCATTTTTCAATTCCGCCTAGGTATGACCTTTATACAGAATAGCAGTATCATCTGCAGAACTGATAATTTTTTCCTCACTGTTTATCAGGAATAAGTCATTCACATAGATCGAGAAGAGCATTGGTCCCAGTACAGTACCTTGAGGTACACCACACTTGATTGTTCTGTAATCACTAAGGGCTTCATTTACTTTGAAACATTGTTGGCAATTTTCAAGGTAGCTTCTGAATAGTTTGAGACAATTACCACGTAATCCAATATTTTCTAGCATCGACAGTAATGAGTGTGGCTAACTGTGTCGAAGGCTTTTGCTGCGAACACAGCAAGGCAGGGTTAACTCTCATCTAAGGCTCCCTAAACATGATTAGTCAGTTCAATTATGGCATCAAGCATTGATTTTCCTTCTTTGAAGCCAAATCGCATGTTAGATAATAGTCCATACTTAGATAAGTAAGTAGAGTTTTCAATTTTTTTTTCGAAGATTTTACTGCAGTTTGTACTAAAACTAAACATCCTATTCTAGTGTGCTGCTTATATACTAGGTATATGTTCACTTAACCGTGAAAAATACTAACCGTCAAGTTAATGTTTGTCATTGTTGAGTTCACATGTTAATATAAAATTAGGATTAACATGTGAACTAAACCATATGACAAACATTAACTTGACGGTTAGTATTTTTCACGGTTAAGTATATAAACAGCACACTGGAATAGGATATTTAGTTTTAATCTTCTCCTGAAGATGCTAACATAGTTATCGAAACACTTGTCGAGGCGTTCAACAGTGTAGTGTATATTTCAATTCGCAATCTGGGACTTCGCGAAACTGCCAATTGATATAACGTGTTTGCTGAGATGCGGTAACAGTATTCTCACAAGGGCCGTATCTGCTTTGTATAGAAGCTTTTGAGGTGTAAAGTAGCTTTTCGCACGGTATAAAAGTCCGAGTTCAATACCTCTGAACATAATCGGACCAATTCCTCTACTCACCAGTTTTCGTCTCTGAGTTTTCCGATCGCCTGGAAAAGTGCATTTTCCGTAGACCCAGTTGAGGTATTGGAAGCTGTTTCCTGAAAAACAGCAAAATGATACGTCTCATGGGAATTCGTTGTGCAATCACTTCGATCACAATACATTACAAGACGATTTTACGCTGAGCTTGGACTCCTTCCTGGTTTTGTCAAATGTAATGTCACTTTTGTCGATGTAGGGAACTTTACCAGCATCGCCGGCTTTGAAATCGTGTTCTGGGCTGGTGGACCTGAAGTAGCGATAAAATACAATGTTTTAACATGCCTTTGGGTACAGAATCCCAGCACATATTCATGAGGTCAGAAAAGGCAGATTCGAAGCAACTTGCCTCAATTCGAAATTGCTTCGTTTCCGAGATACAGGATGGTAAAGTTGAGGTTAAAATCGAATTTTTCAGAATTCATGAACATTTTCGAACTTATTACTTGACCACCTTGTATCTCGGAAACAGAGCAAATTCGGACTGAGGTAAGTTGATAATTCTTTATCTATTATACATTCAAATTATTGAAAGAATGAATTTGATAGGAAACTATACCATATATGCAGACGATACAGTGCTTCTATATGAAAATAAAAACCCAGTAGTTCTTGAAAATATCATAAATGAGGACTTGAAAAAAATTGAGAAATGGTTTTATCTTCTTTCTCTTAATTCTAATTAGACTCAATATACAGGGTGTTTTTTATATATTGCGACAAAATTCAGGAACGTGTTCTTTGGACAAAAATTCGCAAAAAAGTTCCTATAAACATAGGTCCTAAACCTTTTAGATTTTGAGCTACAGGGTGGTAAAGTTTTAACAAAAAAATGATCTTTTTTTCGATAACTTAAATACCCCTGTAGATATTTGTCCAAAGATTGGTATGCAGGGTCTGTGTATCCAGAGCCATTTACCAACATACTTTTAACATTTTTATGTTTTCCAGTGGCGTGTGTGCGGGTTTTCCGCTGAATACTTTTATAAAGAAAAATGGTACGCCACTGGTTTTTCTTGTATCAAAAAGCATTTTTGAATTCTCCGTTTTATTTGCAACATTTTTGATTCCTTGGACTTTGTCCGTTAGATGCACGGTTTTCGCACAAAAAATTAAAAAACATCTACTTTGACTGATCGCTAAAATTTATTTTTTCTATGATCGTTATAAAAAGTAAGTTTTTTTTTCAATTTTATTAATTAATTTGGTACAAAAGCCAGCCCAATTTGATAAAATTGTAATTGAGGATTCAAAACATTTGCTTCTACAATCTTTAATTTAAAATACAAGTTTTTAAGTGATAAAAAATATTTCATTTTTTATTATTTATTTAAGTAATATTATTATTTTTACAAAAGTTGTTCAAAGTGTGCTCCTCCAACATCAATACAAGCATCTAATCGACGTCGCATTGATTGGCGGACACGTTCAAAAATTCCTGGTGTCTGCCGAATTATGTCACAAGACGTTATAATATGATTACGCAATTCCTCCACATTATCAATTGGATTTCTATGTGATTCAAGGTGTCCCCACAAAAAAAAATCCAGCGGATTTAAGTCGGGAGACCGTGGGGGCCAAGGGTTAATACCTCCCCGACCTATCCAACGATTTGGATACGTAATATCCAAATACTGCCGAGCCACTAAACTAAAATGGGCTGGAGCACCGTCATGTAAAAAAAACATTTGCTGTCTCAGCTGAATGGGGACATCTTCTAGCATCACTGGTAATTCATTTTCAAGAAATTCTTGATACACTTGTCCAGTCAACCTTGCTGGTAAAAAAAATGGACCGATGAGAAAGTTTTCAATAATGCCGACCCATACATTAAGTGAAAACTGGTGCTGATGACGGTTTTCTGCCACAGCATGTGGGTTCTCATAATGCCATATGTGGTTATTGTGGAAGTTCATAATTGCGTCCCTGGAGAAATTAGCCTCATCGGTGAAAAGTATTTTTCTTATAAACGGTGCATCTTGCCTTATGCGTTCTTGCATCCAACGACAAAAAAGCCGTTCTTTTCGGAAAATCGCCTGGCAAAAGTGCCTGCACCCGCTGAATATGATACGGGTATAAAAGGTTTCTTTTAAGAATATTCCAAACTGTAAAGTTACTAATGTGTACCGTCTGAGCAATTTTCCTAGTGCTTGTGGTGGGATCTTCCTCGAATTCATTGAGCACCTGTTCTTCAATTTGAGGAGTAACTGTTCGGGGATGTCCGTTTTCAGCGGTGAGTTTTTTAAAACTGCCGGTTTCACTTAGACGTTGGTGTAAACGCGTAAACATGGAGTGATGAGGAATAACACGATTCGGGTAACGTTCAGCATAAATACGCAAGGCTTCTCGTGCGTTTTCGTTAGCCAGTCCATAAATGAAGTGCATATCGCACATTTCATTATTTGTGTAATTGTTAGCCATTTTTTTAACAAATTAATCTTGTCAACTTGTACTTGAATTATTTACTTTGACATTAATTTTGACGTCTTAAACAAGAATGTGATTATCGTTGCGGCGGCGTTGTCCGTAGTTACGTTAAAAAAAATTATGTTCACAGGCTACTTCGCAATTTTGGAAGCGTGAAATATTAACACGTTACTCATATGTCACTTTTATAACATGTTAAATGAAGTGACATATTATGAACTACAATGAAATTTCAAATGAAATAAAAAAAAAACTTACTTTTTATAACGATCATAGAAAAAATAAATTTTAGCGATCGGTCAAAGTAGATGTTTTTTTAATTTTTTGTGCGAAAACCGTGCATCTAACGGACAAAGTCAAAGGGATTAAAAATGTTGCAAATAAAACGGGGAATTGAAAAATATTTTTTAATACAAGAAAAACCAGTGGCGTACCATTTTTCTTTATGAAAGTATTCAGCGGAAAACCCGCACACACGCCACTGGAGAACATAAACATGTTAAAAGTATGTTGGTGAATGGCTCTGGATACACAGACCCTGCATACCAATCTTTAGACAAATATCTACAGGGGTATTCAACTTATCGAAAAAAAATCATTTTTTTTTTAAACTTTACCACCCTGTAGCTCAAAATCTAAAAGGTTTAGGACCTATGTTTATAGGAACTTTTCTGCGAATTTTTGTCCAAAGAACACGTTCCTGAATTTTGTCGCAATATATAAAAAACACCCTGTATAATTGTTCGTCAAAGAAATAAACAAAATATTGATCTGAATATTAGAATAAAAAATGAACGTTTGAAACAAACTGCCCATACCAAATACCTTGGTATTTGGATCGATGAGAAATTAGCATGGGGAAAGCATATTGACATCCTCATAGGAAAAGTATCGCCCATTATTGGTGCTTTAAGAAGATGTCCTAAACTCAGTACATATATATACATCAAATATTATTCTCTATTCACATATACTCAGTCGAATTAACTATCTCATAAATATTGGGGGATATTGTTCAAAAAATAGTTTCAACAAAATTTCTGTTCTATATAAAAAGGCATTGAAAGTATTGTATCGTCTTCCATATGATACTCCAACGAATCAACTGTATAAGGAAACAAACACATTTTCTTTGGAAGAGCACTTTTTAATCAATACTCTAAAAATTTCCTATTATGTCATCAACATTTTAAATCAAATTTTATATTAATCAGGAATTCCGAAATTCATGATCATCACACTAGACAATATAACTTGTTTCATCTTGAAGCTGCAAATTCTAAACTTGGGCAAAAAAAGTTTATACATGAGGCGATTTCGAAATTCAATAAATTACCAGATGATATCAAAAACAGCCCAGATATCATACAATTCAAAAATGAAGTGAAGAAATATATTTTTATGCAAAGGAATGATCAAAGCTGAAAGACTATGAATTTCCTTTTTTTTTCACTGTTTTTATATTTCCCCTTCTTGTTCACTATAATATGACTGTTATTTTGAGATATCTTAATGATATGTAAGTTTTGTTCACTATATTTGTAATTTCAATTATACAACAGTCGATAATACTTCATGAAGGATCTTATACCAGGAATTACTGTCTGATCATTCATGTCATTGCTACTAGAAAATTAATTATACTTTATATAATATTATTTGTATGGAATGTATCAATGAAAAGATAATGTAATGCAAAAATCGAAATCAATAAATAAAATAAAATAAAGTTCATCATTTTTTCTTACGGATTCCCCTTTGAATCAGCACTAAATAAAACGAGGGTGTCATCAGCGTACGCCACTACTTTCGTATCTATACCTTACTCTAAATCAAGGATTTCATTAATGTATGCATTGAAAACTAACGGCCCCAACACAGTCTCCTGTGGCACTCCGTAAATAATTGTTTTCTCGCTACTTGTAATATAATTAACTTTGACTGTTTGGGTCCGATTTTCTAGGTAAGATTTGATTGGGTCTGCCGCTTAACCTCTGATACCACATGTTTTCAAATGACTGGCCTAATTCATTTCAACATACCTGCCTCTTCGAGTCGGTGATATAAGCTTCCCCAAGCACTTGATTTCGATGCTCTTGTCTTTACGCTCGCTGGAAATCGTCGGAGACATGAAAGAGTAGCTTTTTGCCTTCATTTCCATCTGCGAGATCTCGTCCAAGTTGCTCGCCAATGACGGGTGGCAAAGATTATGAAGCGGCCTCGTACACTGCGCAACAAATGAAATGGACGAAATAAACAAACGTTAGCAATGGGAATACTTGTACAACAAGGTTTCTATAAATGTATGATTGTGTTTATATTCAGGGCGCAAAGTGATAGATTGCCGAGCGATAAAAAGAGTTAGGTACCGATGTGAAGAAGAGCGCGGTCATCTTTCTAGAGCGGCAATAGCACTTTCTGCTCGAAATACATACAAAATGTTTTCTATAAACGCAACATTCAACAGAAGAACAAAAAAAAATCACAAACATAATTACTATCTCGCATGGAATTGGATCTTATATCTATCGACTTCTCTTGGCCAGCTTTTTCTTTTTTCCTTCTTCCCCAAAGGCCAACCTCACCATGGTGTGGGGAAAACAAGCAGCGGCTGCTCGGCAGATGGAGCGTTTTTTAGGGGCATCTTTGTTCGAATAACTCAGATGGGAAAGTTTTGTGAACATCTGCTTATGTGGCCGCAAATTGATGAACGAGGCTCTGGCAACCTAATTCAAAGTTGTGGGTACCGGGCGACATCTCAGAGTGGACAGGCTTAACCCTGTGCAGGAGGCACCACAGGGCTGGACCAACCCCTTTTCCCATTACTCGTAGGAGTAGGAAAACTTTTTGCCTTCAACAGGAAAAAGCCAAATACTCAAAGTGGAATGCAATGGTCAGAAAGAGAGAGAAACTCAAAGTCATTACCACACTAGTTCATAAAATGAACGAAAATGGTAGATAACGAGAGAAAAACAACTACTTTCCTGGCTATATGCCACGCATAACATTGTATTACATCTTCCCGAGATCTATGCAATAATTCGTATAGACGAATAAAATCGCAAGTGTTGCCTTCTCCATAGACGAGATCAGGGCTTGGGAGATCAGTCTTCAGTGCTTGATATCAGTTACTGTGATGGTATTTGAAGTGACCCTCATACAGTGCTTTTCTTTCATGTCCCCCATCCCTCTTCCATTTTAGAATGGGTCAACTCAAGAAATTGAAACTTGAGATGATGAGATTCATGCATGAATACTATATTTTAAAGTAAAAGTAACAGAGGGACATTTTGGAGCCATCTGAGATAAAAAATTGAATGATACATCCTCTTGAAGCTCCTTACGAATACTCCACAATCCTGGATTATAAAGTAAATATCTTCACCTACTACAAAATGGCGGAACATTCAATAATTGCCTGAATGCATCGAATTCCAACATCATAATTAGAGGAAATGAGCTAAGTTCAGTGTTGAAGGTGCTCAAAATGGTTGCTTTGAACTTGACATAAGAACAGCCTATCCGATTTTTCACGACGAACACTTTCGAACACAGTTACGTCGATATTACTACAAAAATCCTTTGTCGTATATCCAACATTGAAGCAGGTGCAGTTTCGTACACCGTTTGCTTCGGATAGCCCTATAAAAGGAGTCATTCCGTAGGACCTCTACGACTAATCTAACGAATGGGGAAAGTATCATCCAAATAGTTACTAACTTGTCTGGAGTAATGTGGTGGTGCTTCATCTTGTTGGAATACAATATTCATATCAATAATGTGTGTTTGTTTCCAGGCAACATTTGAATGTTCCGCCATTTTGTAGTTAGTGGAGATATTGACTTCATATTCAAGGGTTTTGAAGTATTTGCCAGGAGCTTCAAAAGGATGTGTCACAATACATATACTTTTTTTTTCTCAGATGGTGCCCAGTTGAAATCTTGGAAATTCTCATCTGTCAATTTCACTCCTAAACTCCCCTACAAGGGGCCTAAATGTCATCGGATACTTTGGATGCGAGCCTCTTGGGAGGGGGTGTAGTGTTTCTACTCATCGAGAGCTAATCTTTCATGGAACTCATATGAACAAAGGGACCTGCGGAGAACGAAGCAACAATTCATGAAAAACGTAGGACAAACGAAATACCTTGACTGCGATAGACGTTCCTCTGTTCGGGTAGGTGATAGCTCTTCTGAATCACTCGCCGTTGAGTGGAGTTCCGCAAGGTTCTGTTTTAGGGCACAATTTGTTCTTGGTGTATGTATCCGACCTTACGCGAAATTGCCTAACCACGGCACTGTCATATGCAGACGACCTCAATATATACTCCGCTCCTTCAGCCACCCTCCAGGATGACATAGATGCCATTACTGACTGGTGCTTCAAGTGGCGGATTCCCCTGAATAAGGCTAAATGATCTGGCCTACATCTTGGAAAATGAAACTCTAAACATTCTCACTCTGTTAACGGCGCCAACTTAACACCAGTGACTCAGCATAATGACCTTGGCATTATCACCACTGAAAACCTATACTGGATTGCGCACGTCGCCAAAGTCGTCAGTAAGGCGAACCAAATATTATATATGATAAAGAAATCATTCCAGGACTTTACCCCCGAGACAATCCTCAAAATCTACAACTCTTACATCCGGCCCCATCTCGAGTTTGCGGTGGTTATTTGGTCCCTCAGACAGGAGGTCAATCGTCTTGAAGGAGTTCAAAGAATAGCCACCAAAATTCCTCGTGGTTTTAAGAACATACCCTACGAAGAACGACTTCTAAGACTGCAACTACCCTGCCTGGAATGGAGACGTGAACGTGGTGACCTGATAACTACATACCGTATCCTGCACGGCAATTTCTTCGTTGGTCAAGATTTTTTCAACCTAGATACTGACTCGGCTACGTAGAAATGATTACAAACTGCGCAAAGAAAGTTTTCGCACTTCGATGACGTCTGCTCACATCGCAGGAGATGCGCGTTTCATATGGCGAGTGAAATTATCAGCAATAACCTTTCTTTGGAAAATCACGTGAGATCAATTGCTAAGAGTGCATCCCAAAAACTTGGTTTTCTGTTTCGGGCCAGGAGCTATTTCACTTCCAGTCAGCTGCTTATGATCTAAAGGCACAGATCTGACCTGCCCTGGAATACTGTTCCCATATTTGGAGTGCAGCACCCAAACATACCCTGAAACTGTTGGATTCTGTCCAAAGAAGGGCGATTCGTCTCGTGGGTGATGCCTCGCTCACAAACTCACTCACTTCTCTGGAACACGGTAGAGAAGTTGGCGATTTGGCGATCTGGCTCTATTTTATAGATCTTTCCACGGACGATGCTCTTCTGAAATATCAACAATTGTACCTCCCTTGGCAGTCCCCGCGAGATTAACCCGTCGAGTTGAGGCTTCGCACCCCTTCGTGGTCCCTTTGGAGACCTGCAGAACATCTCTTTCCAAAGACTCGTTCATCCAACGAACAGTGAGGCTCTGGAACACATTGCCAAGAGAGGTGTTACCCGAGTCATATAACCTCCAGAAATTTAAGGAGAACACCAATTCCTACCTTATTTCCCTTGGTTCTCACGATGTTCTCTGAACATTACAGGATATCCCTTTTCGTGGGAACCAGAACATAAAAAAAGAACTATTCAATTCTCAAGGTATGAAATAAAAACAGAAAAAACTAACATTCGTTCGTTTACTTGGTTTCATTTCATGATATCAAGTAAATGTTTGTCATATGTTACCAATGAAAGTGGTGTAGGAATTTAGTTGATCATTTTTTTTCGAATGATTCAACACCAATCGGAACCTTCAATTGAGTAAAGCTACCTTGTATAAATTCGAATATACTGGAATATATACATAGAGTAACTCCACCAATCAGAAATTCATAATTATTTCAAATTCCATTGTAACCAATGCATATTGTAACATAAAAATGTAAAAAATAATCGCATCGAATACAATATGCACTTCAAAATATTCAAACTTCCTGCACAATTACAATAAATCGAGCCAGTTTAATAGAATAAATCTCCTGCTTCGCGGTGGGCTTATTTCAACTGTTAAAGTGACACTCTTCCTTATATTAAGCAATAATTTTGAAGTACATACTCATAGTATTACGACTGGAAATAAAAACAACAATAACGTGAATAATAGATTCCTTTCCATCTACTTGCCTCCGTATATTTTTCATCCGCATTTTTCATGGCTGTTCTTGCTACGGGTATCCTAGTTTTTCCACGCATGCGAGGTGATTCCATGGATAACTGGAGACTCTCCACGTAGGACTGACTCTTCAGCTTACTGCTACCGTAGTTAGTTCTGTCAGAATACGAGTACCCTCGTATCTTGCTACGATTCTTCTCCAAGAACGTTTTCGTCAAGACGTTTCCAGACATCAGTTCCTTCTGTCTTTTCTCGCACATTTCGCACTGGTGGCAACCTTCGCACTGGTCCAGATAATTGATAGCCTGTAACAATATACATAAGAACACAACATTTTTATGCAAACGACACAAAAGTCGTCCATTTTAATACCAAAATTAGCTCTTGAATTGACGTTTCTATTACTGACACAAACATAGGTAATAGGTATGTTGCTAGGCAATACTTCAGTTCCTAGGAGCTAAAGTTGCACTTCAGCTCTTAGGAACGACACCTTTCTCAATTGTAATTCAGAAAGTATAAAATGTAATTCAGAAAGTATAAGTTGTAATTCAGAATAGTTAATTGTAATTCAAAAAGTATAAGTTGTAATTCAGAATAGTTAATTGTAATTCAGAAAGTATAACTTGAAATTCAGATTAGTTAATTGTAATTCAGAAATAAGCGTAATATGTAATTCAGATTAGAGAAATGTAATTCAGAAAGTGTAACTTGTAATTCAGAATAGTGAAACGAAATTCAGAAACCGTCAATTGTAATTTAGAAAGCATAACTTGTAATTCAGAAAGTATCACTTATGTTTCAGAAACTAGGAATAACCCGTAGGCATCCATTGTACAACACACCACCATTCACCATGCTGCAGCTCTGGCATTTCAAGATATCCCCTTGGTCGATAAATATAAAATATTGATGTTCACCACACAATATACTAATATACCATTCGTTGATTTCTATTCCCTACTGTTATTTAAGTCCATAGTATTTATGAATTACAAGTGATGCTTTCTGAATAACAAATTACGCTTTAAGAATTACAATTGAATATTCTGAATTACAAGTTACACTTTCTGAATTACATTTCACTAATCTGAATAACATGTTATGCATTCTGAATCACGAATGACTAATCTGAATTACAATTGACGGTTTCTGAATTACAATTAACTAATCTGAATTACAAGTTACACTTTCTGACTTGCATTTTACTAATCTGAATTACAAGTTACACTTTCTGAATTACAATTGAAAAAGGTGTAGAAAGGATGTACTAGGTCATCAAGAATAATAGTAGATTGTTTTATTAGGATCAAAAGTGACACTTTGTTTGACAAGCGAATTTTGCATTTGCGAGGCGAACCGTTTAGCGAAGCCGAGCGACCACGAGGTCGTGGGACTTTTTTGAATGCCTTCCTGAAAGGTGTTCAAACAAACTGGAAAAAAAGGTCTTGCTTAGTATTTATCAATGTCGAGGTCAAAGGCTATTATTACTAGGCATGCTTTTTGAAGCATCTATGATACAAATCACCAAACTACCCAGATGCGAAAGCTTTGATGCCACCTCTGATGTTCGATGGCTGAAAGTTCGTAACTTTGCATAACATACACGGAGAAAAATGTCAACATTATACCCTTCGACCTTCACTGAAAATACAGTGGGGTTAGAATTTCTAGGTTTGTTTCAATTTTCTTTATGTTCATAATACCGGGAGATTTTTCGAGGTGGCTAACCGCTATAAATAGGACACCCTCTATTTTATTCCATGATCGGTTAGGAATTATCAAAATAAATTCAAACACATCGTGTTTGATTGAATTATTTCAATCGATTACGAAGATATCATTCGAAGTTTCCATATTATGCTCAATGGGTGTGACGGCGCAATATCGAAACTTCTTTCTCTTTCACACTCATTGAGCATATGGAAATTTGTAATGCAAATATCTTCGTAATCGTTTGACGGTGGTGGACGGAGTATCGTCTGATACCATTGCCTTCAATACCGACGTTTATTTTTTCGTCGATGTGGTTGAAATCCTTTATGGACATCATTTGGGTCCAATCCCCCATTCGATAGTGTGAGAGTCCAGGGTACACCCACTAAACACTCCACCCCGTTTGTAGGCTCGTCTGACTGATGTCTCCGACGACACTTAGGCCTAGTGGCACATTGTATCTTACCTATATGCCGTTATCACTTTTACCATATACGACTCATGGTGCTCATTAAGGACCATTCAATATGAAATACCATTTTCGATCGTGTACGAAGAAGGCCAAAAGTTTTCCTTCTCTCACGAGTGACGGGGGAAGGGGTTGGTCCAGCCCTGTGGTGCCCCCTGCACAGGGCTAAGGCTGTTTACTCTGAGATGCGCCCTATTTCTCAGAAGCCCCGTTAGCGGCATAATATTTCGGTGCCATCCATCCATCGCCACGAATTCCCATAGCTTGGATCAGGTGGCCAGAGCCTCGTTGACCATTTCTTGGCCACCTAGACACATATCAGTAAATCGCCTCATCCTCAATACAGATGCCCACAAATATTCGTCCCATCTGGCCTGGAGATAGCAAAGATGGTCCCAAAATATGGACTTGGCAACAATTCTCGAATGGGGATCTAATAACTTGGTAGATTTCAATGCAAACAAAACACAAGCATGCCTTTTCTATAGAGAAGCCGATCCCACTATGCCAAACATAAGCATGTCAGGACTAACCATACCTTTGAAGACATTCGTTTTGATGCTTGTTATTACTATCAGCAGTATCAGCAATAACCTTTCTTGGGAAAATCACGTAAGATCAATTGCGGAAAAAAAACTTGGTTTTCTGTTTAGGGCCAGGAGCTATTTCACTTCCAGTTAGCTGCTCATGATCTATAAGGCACAGATCCGACCTGTCCTGGAATACTGTTCCCATATTTGGAGTGTAGCACCCAAACATACCCTAAAACTGTTGGATTCTGTCCAAAAAAGGGCAATTCGTCTCGTGGGTGATGCCTCGCTCACAAGCTCATCCACTTCTCTGGAACACGTAGAAAAGTTGGCGATCTGGCTCTATTTTATAGATATTTTCATGGACGATGCTCTTCTGAAATATCAACAATTGTACCTTCCTTGGCAGTCCCCGCGAGATTAACCCGTCGAGTTGAGGCTTCGCACCCCTTCGTGGTCACTTTGGAGACCTGCAGAACATCTCTTTCCAAAGACTCGTTCATCCAACGAACAGCGAGGCACTGGGAAACATTGCCAAGGGAGGTGTTCCCCGAGGCATATGACTTCCAGAAATTCAAGAAGAACACCAATTCCTACCTCATTTTCCTTGATTCTCGCGATTTTCTCTGAACATTACAGGATATTCCTTTTCGAGGGAACCACAACATGAAGAAAAATGCTTCATCTGTCAAGCGGCCGCGTTTGTCCTCCCCACACCACTTGATGTTGGGTTTAGGCTTGGAGGGGAAGAGGAAAAGAAAAGCTGGCCAAGGAAGGCCGATAGGATAGATTGGAAAAGGAAGATAGAAGAGGATATCACCCAAGACAAAATTAAGTTTGGTGAATATCCGGCTAGGGTACCTCGAGTTCACCATTCCCGTACTCCAAGTTGTGAGCCCCTAAGGGCGATTCGAAAGTTCCACAAGGATTCATTTTGACACATTGTTCCTACTTCATATCAATGATCTGTTAGGAGCAACCACTTGCCCTATCCACAGCTTTCCAGACTATGGTACTCCCCATACTGCGTTCTCTTATAGAATTTCCATTTCTTCCTAGAAAACTAAGATCTTACGACGAAGGCAGGTCAGGGCTGTCGATGACGATATTGCTGAAATTACAGCCTGAGGAACCAATAACAATCTAGTTGAATTCACCGCCACCAAAACTCAAGCCTGTATTTTCTCGAGGAAGGCGGAGCTCAGGATGCCTGATATAACAATGTCTGGTACCACCATTCCTACCAGGACCACTATATCTATGCTGCTTCACAAAAACCTCAACAGCTTTTCATGATCAATAAAGCACAGATACGGCCAGTTTCAGAATACTGTTCTCACATATGGGGTTCAGCACCCAAACATACGCTGATGCTCTTTGTTCCTATCCAGAATAGAGTCATCCGCCTGGTGATGGGTGATACCACACTCATTAATCCCTTGACCATATTAGAACACCGTAGAAAACTCGGCAACCTTTCACTATTATATAGATACTTCGAACGGGAAATGATCCTCAGAAATCTCTGGTATATCATTCCATCACTATAGCAATACCAGTAGACGAACTCGACAGGCCCAGTCTTTCGTTGTAAACCTTGAAATATGTCGAACAACACTTTAGAATTATTTGCCAATGGAGGTATTCCCATGAGCTTACAACCTCCAAAAGTTAAAAAAATGCCAACACCTACCTCCTTCTCCCTCCTCCTCCCTAGGTACGCTCGATGTTTCCGAACATTATAGGAATTCCAACTAGGATATAGCCACAATGCTCAAATTATAGGAATTTCCTTTCGTGAGCTTCAAGAGATTCAGGAAAATCAAACATATAGACTGAAAATATTTCAGGTGGATTGGAAATGATCGATTAGAACAACATACCAATCTTCAAGTTCATATTCCAACTGCAAGTTGGAAATCTTTCAATATGTTGCCTACGTGGATCACCCTGTATTTATCTGTCATGAACGTTATTGAACATTTCCTGTGGAAAAGCATCTTTCTTCCACCAACATTGGAACAAAATAGAATAGTCGCGGAACATTTGGCTAAAAAATACGTATTATTTATGTTTTTCTCTTACCACCTTTGAACAAACATTGACTGATTTGCGAACAAAAATTATTTTTCTGCAACCGACACAAAAGTCGTCCACTTTGATACCAAAATTAGCCCTTAAATTGACGTTTCTATTACTGACACAAAAGTAGGTATGTTGCTAGGCAACATATTTAGTTCCTAGGAGCTAAAGTGGAACGTTAGGTTCTAGGAGCTAAAGTTGAACTTTAGCTCCTAGGAACTAAAAAGGATGTACTGGACGTCATCAAGAATGAACGACATTGTTACTGTTGGTTATTTGGGTTGAGATGCATACCTGATTTGTTTCTGATTTCGGCATATTTGGCATTTCATGCCGATGCTGGAGATATTATTACACCTTATTATAGTTAAGTATTGCTAGTATTGGAATTATAAACATCTCAGTTGAGTATTTTTGTTTTGATCAGAGAAGCCTTCAAGATTCAATCACTTGCTTGATCTGTATTTCATTCGTTATTCTCGGGATGGATAACTTGTTTTTGAATAAT